TGAACTGGTGTTGATGACAACCTATGGTTGGTACAGTGAACTGGTAGTTGTGTTACTGCCAGTGATCAAGGCATGGGGTAGATGTCCTTGAGTTCTGAAGTGCTTGATGCACAACACAATGATCCTCCATGGGTGTAGTCTGTCTTGAGTGGCAAGAGCCTTCAGGATATGTATGGGTGCCCTCATAGACCCATTTCTTTCAAAATGGCATCTGTATGCTCACATGCTAGGCAGTTGCATGATACAACTAACTTCTTGCAAAATGATCAACGTGGCTCCTATCAAATGCAGTCAACTACTGGTAATACTGTATAATGTTTCTGTTAGCCATCCTCTGAGTCTGGCGAGCTCTCCAAACTGTTTTTGACTGATTGTTAGATACACTGTCAACTCCCTGCCATTTATGTCTCCTGGTGCCATCTGGTCTGCAATTATTTAACTTCATTTGTCAGTGAGTGTTAAAAGTCACCACTACTTAATAAAAAAATATGAAAAAACATGTAACATTTAGGTAATAGCATTCACTTACCAAACAGTCTACAGTTACCATCTGAAAACTAAAATGTACTATAAAGTGCTACAGATATGCTGAAAATGTCAAATGCTGGAATTTCAAGGGTTTTGCTTTTTTGAATTGTTTCAAAACTGCACATTTTTTATTGATTGTTTCTATTGCACACTCAATCTTGTAGCATCTCTTCTGACATTTTCAGCTGTGCATGAGGCTGACCAAAACAAGACAGTAATGGCTGGCTCTCCCATAGCTCTGCAGTGTGAGCTGTCAGCCCACAGTGGACAAGTGAGCTGGCACAAGGATGAAACAGAGCTCCTGACAGAAAATGAAGAAGGCATCCAATCACAGGAGAATCTGAGAAGTCTGGTAGTGCCATCTGCTGAACAAACTCATATAGATGTGTACAAGTGTGAGTCAAAGGATGATGACATCCACTTCTCTGTGGATGTACAAGGTGATGTCCAGAAACTTCGGCACATTTCATGTCTTGCAGAGCACTAACAGCAAATAACAATGTTAACTGTGTTTGATCGCGTAACGGAAAATAGTGTAGTCACTGATCTTGTATAACATTTCTAATACAATGCACACTGTAAGTTTTTTTCATGCTGCATCTAATTCATAAATTCTAATTCATTTTAATGATAGGACTAACAAATACATTTCCTCTACACTCAAACACTTCAGACTTATTTGCATCTTACCATCTTATCCTACCCTTGTGTTGGTCTACGATTACCGTTTAACTTTTGACATTAATGTCACGCACTTGCTTCTTGGTTTCTCTTTATTTTGTTTGTGTTTATTTATGTCTGTTGCTGTGTATGTTGTTTGTGTTGTAAACTGTACCAATGATCTAAGCTTTTTTCATCTTCGGCTTGCTGTGTTAATAGACTTAAATGTCTCATTTGGAAGCTCTCAAATCACAGCTATGTCATTACTTGGTTTATGAAGTTTCTTGTTATTCTTTTTTATGATGTCCAAAACCTATAGCACCACCTGTGAAGTTCTCAGAGCTCCAAGAAAACAAGAGGAACAAGTTCATCCAGGAAGGCAAACCTCTTGTTCTCAACTGTGAACTCTCTCGTGAACCTTCAACTCATGTTGATTGGTATAAGGATGGCATCAAACTCATGCCTCAGAGCAATGTGGAAATTCAGACAGATGGTCTGGCAAGAAACTTACTCATTCCTTCAACTGAAAGAAAGCATGCTGGTATCTATGAATGCTCAACAACAGATGACACCATTACCTTTAAGGTGGACATTAAAGGTGATTTATTCTTGTTCATGGTCTCTTCTTAAGGTTACCTTCCAGATTTATCTTTTTTCCCCTCTGAGTGGTAAAAATGTACTGTGTTCTGAATGCGTTTGGAAAAGTGGGATGACTGGCTGGAAAGTGTGTTTAGTGTACTGCTAGTGAAATCCTTTCTTATCTATTTATCCCCTTGTTGTCCTTCTTTCTTAGGCCAATCACCAAAGATCATGGCAATACCACTTGCAGAAAAATACAAGGTTGTTAGAACTGGTCTTCCAGTTATCCTACAGTGTCAGGTTTCAGACAATGCAGCCCAAGTTTCCTGGTTTAAAGATAGAATGGAGCTTTTTTCAAAAACGGGCCTTGATATGAAAAGAGACGGCAACCTCAGAAAGTTAATAATTCATTCGGCTAAAACCTCTGATGCTGGTCTCTACAGCTGTAGCCTCGCTGAGGATGTTGTGACCTTCCATGTGGACATTGAAGGTGAATTACTTGTATTTGTTTTTAAGAGCAGAAACATTTGATCATGCCTTTACATAAGCATAAATAGTTCCGTGTTTTTCTAAGCTGCTACAAAACAACTTCCTCAGTGGAGAACTTAGACAAGCTTTATGGAACTGTATCTCCCAGTGTTGATCATGCTGAAATGGTCAAACCTAAACGTTGACGTGTACAACAATTGTTTTCAAGCTAAAATGTGAGCCGAACATAAGTGCTCTGTAAATTTCATGCAATCCACAGCTACCCCTGTGAGGTTTTCAGTGCTACCAGAGGTTGCAAGACACACATTTGTGGAAGCAGGCTGTCCAATTAAGTTGCAGTGTGAAGTCTCAGAGCCGCATGCTCAAGTCTGTTGGTCCAAAGATGGAGAACAGTCGTTACCAACAAGTGACTATGAAATCCACACAAATGAAACACTGAGAGCACTGGTTATTAAATCAGCAGCGGTCAGGCACTCTGGGTTGTACAACTGTGAGAGCGCAGATGATCGTATACAATTCAAGGTGGATGTTGCAGGTGATCTAAGTATTCTGAGCTCTGTCTGAACTACTAACTATGACTTAATGCTTGGCTATTGGACCAATCTAAAATAAAACATTATTTAACTGGGACTAATAATTAATGGTATACTTATAAGAAAACACAATGATACAATTTGTACGTATTAAAAATGTGACCACTTAAGCAGCAGCAGTGTTGTGTTGCTTTGTTTTGTACATTTCTAAATAAAATAAAAAAAATACAATTAATAAAAACCCTCATCTTTCAGGCTATAATCAGAAGTTGTTCACAATTTAGCATTTGTAAAATCAGACAAGAGTTGAAAGTGAACAAGTATAATTATCAATGCTTTTCAGTGTAGGTAAGCCAATGATTTGGGTTTTTAACTAATCATTTTTATACTTCAACAACCTTGTCCGTACATGTTGATTTTCTTCCAGTAACAAACATTAGCTTGGCTAGGTTGAAAGCTATAGCTAGTGAATACAGCACAGCATTTAGTTTCTTATATCAATTCTGTTGCTTAATATTGCAATATAACAAACTTACAAAATGTATTAAAAGAAGTTAGGTCAACAAGGGTATTTAAAACAATAAAAAATGCACCCAAATGTTATAACATATTAAATGCTACCTTAGGCTTTGACAAAAGGGTGAGTTTTAAGTTGAGTTTTGAAGGCAGACAAATATTTGATGTGTCAAAATTGAATTGGCAGAGTTCTCACAAGATATGAACGTGAATAAAGACAAATCAATCTTTTTTTTGGGGGGTGGGGGGTCAACAAGGATCTGTTGGTTTGAATCCTTCTATTGTTGCTGGAACTGAAGACAGAAGGACACAGCTTATGCTATGTTTAGGGTAAAATCTATGTGAATCAACAAAAGTAACAAAATGAAAATAAATAAATAATTAGGTATATTTTTGATTTGAGGTGAATGTGCTGTTCTCCTACATGGAAGTGGTGGGACATAAACTTGTGCTGGTCCCATTCTGGCTTCAACTTTAGGATTTTGGTCAAAGGTACTACTGTAGATACACTGTATACACAGTCTATGGTCTGAATAGTTGAAAGGATGCAACCATATAATGGAGCCTGCATATGAAGACAAGCATAGCGTAATATTTTTGTGCCTATTTGTCCATGTAAGGAGCCAAACTTCATGTTTTGACTTAACTGGAGACTTGAACTTTAAACCAACTTTTTTTTTCTTTTTTTTTAAGAAAAAATGAACTAAACTACAAATGAATTTTAACTGTGCTCTGTGGCTATGTGTGTCATTTAAAAACTACACACTAACATGTTGGTGACAGCTTTTTGGGTATTCATAACTTTGATTTCTTTCAGTCTGCTTACAAACAAACCTTGATTTGTGTGTTCTTGTATGTTTTACCCTTTACCAAGAAAATCCAAATACATTACTTAGCCCAACGTAATCCATCAAGTCTGATAACTATCTGGTTACTGCTTAATGAAATGAAAGTCCTATAGTGTGGGTTTAATTCTCAGCTGTTCCAGAGGCTGAGAGGAGCAGTTCTTTTGAAGCAGGGAGCCTGATCAAACTGCAGTGTGAGATCCCAGACCCCCTAATCCAAACCTGCAATGAGGTTGGGAAAAAACTCTTGCCAGAATCGGATATAAAGGTTGAATCAAAGGGAAATAAGGGAATGCCGGTCATGGACTTGACCACACCTTCATACTCTGAGGTGTATGATTGTAAATCTGATGATGATTTAGATCTCGGCGATATCTCTGTGGAGGTGAAAGGTGATATGCTAAGCTTTTTCTTGGCAACCTAATTTCCTTTCTCATTTGTGTACACCTTCATAGCCTCTAATACCGAAGAAAGCAAATCCCAATCACCGCCATACATCTTAATTTCTTCCAAATGTTTTAGTTTTATTAAAACTGCTTTTTGTGTACCTGCTTCTTTTAGCAACAGTCCTTGAAAATTAATGTGTGCTTCAATGTTGTAACAACTCCTGTGGTCAAGGCATTACATATTTGCATTGCTTCAAATTAAGTTTTCAGTTTGCTTAGAAGGAGGATTAACATTCACTCATTAATATAGCGTCTGAGATGAGCCATTACATAAATAGCAAGTCTTGAGATCAGCATGTTTGGGCTGAGTAAATCTGACCTTACAGCTGCTACATGCATGAGCAGAAATATTAAGTTTCACATTCAAGCAGTGTCTTACATCTTTTGTGTACTGTTTTCCACAGCGCCACCGGTAACATTTGCTGATGTCTCAGAGAAGGACCTTTTTCACAGTGCTGTGGAACAAGAGCAGTTGGTTTTGCCATGTCACGTATCAAGGGCTGATGGTGTTGTTCAGTGGTACAAAGATGGAATGGAAATACAATCAAACAATGACATTACAATATATGCAAAAGGTTCTGAAAGAAATCTGACTATACATTCAGCCCAACTGTCTGACGCAGGCACATACACATGTCGTGCAGGAGACAACATTTTAATCTTCAAGGTTAACATAAGAGGTAATAAAAGACCTTACAACAGCATACATTCTTTTAAAATGTCTGGATTTTAATAGTCACATGTACAAATTATGCTTCAATGCCTTGTTTTATTTATTTTTTCTCTCCAAAGAACCTCCTGTTACGATAGTCTACCCCAAAGAGGACGTCCACCTTGACCGTCATGTTCCTGAAGAAATTATTCTTAGCTGTGAACTGTCTCGTCCTAATGGTGTTGTCAGCTGGTTTAAAGATGGCCAGAAGCTTCAAGAGTCTGAAAATATCAAGCTTAAACTTGAAGGCCCATATCGCCGACTCACAATTCTTTCAAGTAGAGTCGAAGATTCTGGAGAATATGTCTGCGATACAAATGATGATTCAATATTCTTTCACCTTAATATTACAGGTAAGATGATTGACTTTGTAGGAATCTATCCGTATGTTGGCTTAACATGTCAGTATATTTATTTACTGGTTTTATCACAAATGCATATCAAATGATTTGTGGCCACGGGCATTAGTTATGAAAGATTTTCTTTTTGTCATTTTTGGAGACCATGAAATATATCAGAGTGATACTGTGTGGTGCCCAAACAGGTTGGTCCAATTTACTGAAGCATAGACAAGTTTTATAAAAAACTATAATACTGCAAGTCATACCTCAACACCCAAGGCCAGTTTTGGAAACAATTGTTGCACAAGTTCTTCAAAATACTTATACATTAAGCAACTTTCAAAATATGTGGATTAATCTGGTGTTCTGTTGCTTCCATTTTTTATTGTGCTGCTTAGCCCATTTGAGAATATGCAGATTACAAAGTATAAATTTGAAGCCAACTGATGCTTTTAACAAAGTTAAGGTGATGCATTTGGTAATGCTAGGTCTTAATCTCTCCCTCCAGAACCTCCAGTTCAAATTTTATCCCCAAGTCAGTCACAAATGGAACTGTGTCAGCAGACCTCTGAAAGGATGGTGCTGAGTTGTGAGATCTCACGGCCCAATGCAGTGGTGCGTTGGTATCGAGATGGACTCGAGGTGGAAGAGAATGACAATCTTATTCTAGAAGTGGATGGTGTCTACAGAAGACTTATTATACCAGAAACAACTGTCAAAGACTCAGCAGAATATGTATGTGACACAGGGGATGATTCTGTGACATTTTTTGTGAACATAGCAGGTAAAAAGACAAAAATTAAGCTTATTTAAAGGTTTTGATTTTCACTCTTAAATTAATTTGTTTTTGATACACAGAACCTCCTGTTCGCTTCATACGCCCACGGAAGATGGCAAGTAGTGTAGAGAAAGCAGTTGGGGAGACTCTGGTTTTAGACTGTGAAGTTTCAAGATCCAATGCCGAAATCACCTGGAAGAAAAATGGGGAGGAAGTAGAAGACTCCAGAAATATCACAATCCTAGAGGATGGCATCATGCGACAATTAACCATTCTCTCTTTAACAGTGGAGGACAGTGGGCAATACGTGTGTGATGCAAAAGATGATGTGATGCATTTTAATGTGAATGTGCAAGGTAAGTTTTCTTTTACGTGAACACATAATTTCACAATACTTACATATTTCATTATTTTACTACAAAACTCCAAAGTGACAAAAGCTAACCATAAGTGGTAAGCTACCTCCCAAAAAATAGACTGTCCACTCACCCTATCAATTGCATGATTGACCTTCAAACTCAGGTCCTCTAGGGGCCTGGGGTAACTATCCAGTATCATACTGTAGCTGTTCCAAGAAGTGTGCTTTTCTGGATAGCGATCTCTAAGGTTGTTCCAGGAATATGTTGAATCCACACTGCCCTGAATGCTCCAGTGACCATTGGCACCACAGATGCCTAGACTTTCCACAAGATTTCTATGTCCTTTAGTTTTGAAAGCAAATTCCTCTTGCAAACATTGGAGCCTGGGGTCAGCAATTGTTGTTTGGTCACTTTATATTTAGTGTACCTAAGCATTGATCGTTTGAGCTTAGTTTCTTTCAATAGATTTGCTTGTGTTGAAGTACTCCAAAAGACTGATAATTTCTGTTCTGGTCCATGTATATTCAGTGGTCCACTTTTCATCAAAATGTCATTGTTACCCAAAATCTGATACAGAGCATGTTATTAAGACAAGATACAATGTCATTCTAATGCAGTAAGGTGGTGGTGTTTTCAAGTCTCATAGAAGGAAGCAAATAAACTACAAAGTGTCATTTAGGAACAATGAGAAACAACCTTACTGACATTGCTTATTTACTCTTACAAAGATAGAGGTTGCAACTAACAATTGCATTTGAAGTGTTTGCATCTTAGTTCAGATTTAACCAATTTAACCTTTAGTTCTTGGCCCATGAAGTTATTCATATTGGTCTTCCACAGCACCAATTAAACCACCAATTTTGTACTCACTTTTCATAACTATGTTTGTAAAACATGTGAGATAACCACCACCTTTTGAGGCTTTGTGGCCCTTTACAATGCTGTGAAAAAGTTTTTTGTACAAAACACACATACACAAAATAATTCCCCTCAGATCGTCTTATTGTTTTATTCATTTGCAGACTTGCCTGTAAAAATTCTTGGAAAAACTGGGGCTAAGACCGAAAGACAGTTTTTGGTGTCGGATGATATTATTTTAGTTTGTGAACTCTCAAGAGCCAGTGCTTCAGTCAAATGGTACAAAGACAATCATCTTATTGATGACACTAAGAGATACTGCTGTGAAGAGCAAGACGTCTTCCGGTCTCTGGTTGTTCTTAATGCTGGACTGGAAGACTCAGGGGAGTATTCCTGTGATGCAGGGGATGATAAGATGGTCTTTCATATAACTGTTAAAGGTAACCATAATGGCAATTAATAAGTTATAAATCTGGTTAATTTCTTCACCTAAAGCACAAATTAATGTTAATATATCTAATTTTCAGAGCCTCCTGTGCAGATAATTGGAAATTCAGGTAATCCAGAGCATCATGCCATGGCAGCAGGAGATGATCTTGTTCTGGAGTGTGAAGTGTCTCAACCAAATGCCTCTGTCAAGTGGCTACATAATGGCGAGATACTCAATCCAGACAATCGGATACATATTGATAGTTATGATGTGGTGAGGAAGCTTGTTCTCTCTGGACTTCAACCTTCAGACTCGGGAGAATACATATGTGACGCCATTGATGACAAGTTGATAACAATTGTGAAAGTAGAAGGTAAAAATTAAATTACATCCGAGTTTTCCTTTTTCTGGTTTATGTATGGTGTGTTTTGTGTTTCCCCCAAAAAATATTTTGAAAACAGCTTTGTTGTGGATCTGTTTTTTTTTTCCTGCAGACATGCCAGCCAAGTTTTTGAATAAAAATGCTAAAAATATCATGTCAGCCTATGAAAATGAGAGTGTTACATTATGTGCTGCTGTGAGCCATGAAAGAGCCAATGTTCGGTGGCTGAAAGATGGCCAGCTATTGAATAAGGACAACATTCATATCTCCAGTGAGGGTAAAACTCATAAGCTCACCATTAATCCTCTGCAGCTGTTAGATTCTGGAGACTATGTATGCGACATAGGCACCGATGAAATGTTTTTCAGTCTTATAGTGAAAGGTAAGAGAATTGATTTCCTAATCTATGTGTCAACAGTTGTGCTATATGTATAACACCATTAAAATGTCTGAAACTGTGATTCTTTCTTAGAAATGAAAGCAATGTTCATCAGACAACTGGAGAATATGGTGTCTCAGAGGGGTAAAAATATTACGTTGCAATGTGAAATTAACAAGTTCAAAGGAGATGTCCAGTGGCTAAAAGATGGCAAGGAGATAAGTCCAGGGCAACGGTACACAATACGGGCACAAGGTAGAGAGCGAAGTCTGACTATTCACCAACTAATGGATGAAGATGTAGGGGAGTATGCTTGTGAATCCACAGATGACCGGACCTCAGCCACTGTCTCTGTAGAAAGTAAGTTGGTCTAATTTTCTAACCTTCACACAGTTTTGTGTCAATTGTATCATGTTAACCTTCATTTTAAAATTAATTTGATTTAACTGAATGTTTTTTCCAGCTCCACGTGTTGTGGAGTTCATAGCGGAGCTCCGTAATATCACTGTCCGTGAAGGGGAAGATGCAGCATTCAAGTGCGTTGTTTCACCAGCAGACGTTAAACTGGTCTGGCACTTGAATGACAAGAAGGTTGCATTGAATGAGCGCGCGGTCATTTCCAGCCATGGCCTGTGCCATATGCTCTCCATCAACAACTGCATGGTTTTAGATAGCGGCAGAGTGACAGCTGATGCCGAGGGGTTGGTATCAGAAGCAGAACTCCAGGTTCAAGGTGAGTTCTTCATTCTTTGTGAAATTCATTTGATTTAAAGCACAATATTAGTTTTAATCAAAAGAGCATTAGTAGTTTGATTCCACAAAGGGCTGTACTCTGCAGTAATAAAGCAAATGTGCAAACTTAAGTGTTTCAGTATCACATGACGTACTGCAGTGCACATACTAATGTTTTACAGTTTTAAGCTACTTTTTAGCATTAAAGGAGCGTTTAAACAGCTAGAACATAGCAGCCTCTATTTATATATTTGTTACTGATGGAGACAAGTGGTTCAAGAGTTTTGGCACACTACACTGCAGGGGTAAGGTCTCTCAAACAATTTTCTTGAACTTGCCACATCACTTCACTGACTTCCTTTAGTCCATTTCAAACTTTGCATTCATTTTTGTCTTGCTTGATAACAGAAATAAGAATAAAGGCCTAGTAATTCTTGAAGGAAAGCATTTCACCCAACACTTATAATGACATGGGTTTTAGTTAAACCTTGAAAATACCATGAAGCGTGAGCTCAGGCAATATAGAAACATCTATTAGGGCCTGGAGTAGAGTTGCATTCAGACCTAAAAAATACGACCCAGCCCGGACCTGACCCATATCATTTTTTCCGAGCCCGACCCAAAACAGACCAGTTAATTGTGACAACAGACCCGAAACAGAAAAAAATAAAATTAATTTAAATTAAGCTTTTTTCCAATAGCATGTCCGAGGATAACAAAAACAACAAAAACATTTAATTTCTCTTTGGGATTAATAAAGTATTTTTTAATTGAATTTTGAATTGAATTTTACTGCTTTTGTAAGCAAATTAGTTTGATACGTTTTAAAAACATATTTCAAAGATAGGAAGATATAAGATGTCTTGTTTATTAACAAGAGTCATCGGATTGTTATAGTTATCATAATACATGTATTATAGTTATTATAGTTATTGATGGTCGTCAGCCAAGCGTGTCGGCCGAGCCTGTCGGCCGAGCGCGTCTGCAGACGCAGCGGCTGATCCAGTTAAGCTTCAGGTGAATCGCTGGCAGTGATTCATCTGGACTTTTTTGTACCTCTTTCAGCCAGCCGGGCTAAGCCGGGCTCAACCGCACGCGTCCGCTGATACGGTCACTGTTAAGCTTCTGGTTAGTTGCTGGCAATCATCCATCTGGACTTTTTTGCCTCTTTCAACTGACTGGTAAGCGCACGGTCAAACTGCGCGATCCAAATTGGATAGTCAGCCACACGCGTCCGCTGACGCAATCAAAAGCCCGACACCGACCCGGTCCGCTCATCCAGTACATTATTTTGACCAGGCCCGGCCCGAATTTTGGGTTAGGTCAGGCCGTGCTAGGCCAGGTGCGGGCCCGGATTAGAATTGACAGCTCTAGCTTGGAGTATGTGTTGCGAATGACTCCCAGCCAATTCTTTCAGAATATCTGCAAATTTCAGTCAGGTGGAGCCATTTATTGTGTAGGAAAAGTTTGATTAGCTGTGATAACCCTTTTAAAATGGTCTGACTCCAACAGTTAAGCAATTGTAAATGTACAGCCAATAATGATTTTTTTTTTCATTAATGAGATATGTTGCCAATGACACAAAGAAATTAACAAATGTGCGCACACACACATGCAAAAACTTTATACCTTAACCATAATTTATACATGTAGTGTTATACAAATAAATGCCTAAATCGTTAATATAACAGATGGTGTTCTCTAACAATTCCTAACTTTTTTTTTTTAAAGAGCAACAGGTGCTGTTCACCAAGAAAATGTCCCCAGTTGTAGCTGAGGAGTACAATGAGGCAACTCTCGAGGTGGAGGTGAATCTAGATGCAGGAGAGGTGCAGTGGATGAGACAAGGGGTGCTGATCCACCCTGGCGCCAAGTATACCCTCAAACACAAGGGCCAAAAACACAGCCTTACCATCCACACTCTGGCCGTGTCTGACCGGGGCACCTACAGCTGCGAAACCCTTCACGACCGCACACAAGCCCAGCTCAGAGTGGAGCGTGAGTGTTCTCGCAATGTCCTGTTTGTTTACTGCTGTTACCAGTAACTCCAGCCTCTGCCACTGCCGCTTGCAAGTGCAAATCTCAATTAACTGAGACTGCGTTATTTTGAGTAACTGGGGGCCAAAGCGGCTATTATATTTGGGAAATGATGTTAACCAACACGTGACGTTCTTACTCCCCAAAATGAAGCCCAGAACAAGGTTTTCTCATATCAGGACATGATCAAAACTTCATGTTTATATATCAACGTATCAGTTCTAAGTTTAAAATTAGATTTGGTGAGACATTTCCAAATGAAAAAGCATATTTCAAAAGTAGAAAGCTTGACACGCTATAAAACATCTTGTAGTAATTAAGTTGCACTTATCCTTGTTTTTCTTTGTGCTTATGTTTCTCAGCCCACATGCGAGTGGGTGAATTAAAGGCTGGTCTTTCAACACCAGGGTGGGTGGGAAGGGGAAAGTTAGGACTTCAAGCTGCTGTTGGCACATCCTATGAATTTGGATCTTCTCTCATTGCGTCTAAATTTACACCATGGCCTTCAAAACTAAGGTTGTTGTCATCAGGTTTCCAAAATAAACTTTTTTTTTTTTTTTCCCATTGGGAATGCATGTCTACGTTAGAATAAGTGAAAAAAACTTGGCAGTTTCAAAGTGAGCTTTTGTGTAAAGCCCGGTGCTCAAATGGCTCAAATCAGCTTGTAGATGTGTGCCAGCTTGCATTGTTTAACTACAGAACAAATTCCAAGCCCATGATGTAAAAGAAAAAGGACACCATCTCCATTTGGTCTTAAACTGACTCTGTTCTGACAAACATTAGCGATTTTTCTGTCTTTTGTGCTTTCTTGCCCCCAGCTCGAAAAGTCACAGTCAAGAGAGGGCTGACTGACATTAAAACCACAGAGAGAGAGACAGCTTCCTTTGAAGTGGAGCTCTCCCATTCTAATGTCCCAGGCACGTGGATCAGAAACGGAATCCAGCTTAAGCCAACGAATCACTTCCGTATGAGCGCCAAAGGACAAGTTCACAGCCTCACCATCTCTAATCTATCAGTGGAAGACACTGGAACCTTTGTTTTCTGTGTAGACAATCTGAAAACATCTGCGAGGCTTGTTGTGAAGGGTAGGTAAGATGCATGCTTAAAAGTATAATTATGAAACAAACAGGAGGTTATTAAAGGCATTCATTGCAAACTCCCAAAGATCTGATTAAAAACTGAATCCTAAAATAATAATAAAAAAAAAATCTGAATAAGTTGTATTGTATCAACATTTAATGTGTCTGGATGCCAACTACCATATTTGTTTGTTTACCAACAGAAATAGCCAAAGAGACTGAAAATAGGCCGAATATTAAATGTATCAGTTTAGCAGAAGTGGATGCAAGAGGACAAAATGAGTTTTGTCTGCAGGATAGCTGGGCTTTCTCTTAGATATAGGGTGAAAAACTTATCCAGGAGAAACTCAAAGTAGAGGTGCTGCTCCTCCACACGGAGAGAAGCCAGTTAAGGTTGTTTAGTCATATGGCAATGATGCCTCCTGAACACCTCCCTAGGAAAGTTTTCTGGGCATGTTCAACTGGGGAGAGACCCCAGGGAATATCCAGGACATGCTAGAAAGACTATGTTTCTCAGCTGGCCTGGGAACTCCTTGGATTCTTTCCAGAAAAGCTGGAAGAGGTGGCTGTGGAAAGAGATCTCTGCACCTCCCTTCTCAAGCTGCTGCCTCTGTGACCTGACTCCAGAACTAACAGCAGATGATGAATGGATGGATGGATGGATGAGTAGATTAAATTTAGTAGACATTTAGCTAAATCTGCATGTTTGAAAGTTGAGCTCCACCTTTGTGGCGTTCAATATTTATTCTTGACAGTTGCTTTTCTTGTTTGTTCTGCCTTTCTTTTCAGGATTTTTGGCTGATTTAATCTTATATTTCCACTTGGCAGCTCTCCGCTCCACACAGAGGGCTGTGGTAGCTCAATGGTCTGTGGTTGTGTCAGGAAGGGCATCCGGCATAAAATCAATCGCCAAGTCTTCATGTCAGTTAGTTAGCTGTGGCGACCCCTGAAGAAGGGAGCAGCCAAAAGAAGAATCTTATATTTCCACTGAAGTGTCTTGTCTGAGATTCTACACTTGTCTGATTCTGCCATATTTGTTTACCTACACAGACTACGGTCAACCTAATGTAGGTCACAATCACATGGACAGAGATGATGTAGGGGCAGGGCATCCGACTCAGGACCCGGAGGTCCTGGGTTTGATCCCCAGTCATTGCACATCTTGTGGTGTCTCTGAGCAGGACACCCTATCCCCAGTTGCTCCCCAGCCACTTTCCATAGCTGCCTACTGCTCCACCTGGTGGTGGATGGTTTAAAAGCAGACAGCCAATTTCGCCATTGTATGGGAACATACAATGATGACCATACATAACATTATTATTAGCTATATCCAAAAAACTACTGGAGTTAATTCTTTCAAACTGCACCATTTGATAAATTTCTATATATATTTTTAAGAAATGTATTTATACAACAATTTTACAGTATAACCTTTTTTATGTTTGATTTCATACTTTGCAATGAGTGAGTTGAAGTGATGTTACCACATAAAGGTCAATTCTAAGGCTCACTGATTTTCTGTCAACACCTAGCAGAAATTCAGTAGCTACAGTACACTGAAAGACAAAGCTTTACTATATTTGTTATGGTGTGACCCCAGACTGGTAGCTAAAGTTGTTCTCTCAGTCTTGTCCAAATGGCAACCACTGCTGGCATGATAATAGAATATGGGTGACGGCTCAACTACTGTTGCTTTTTATCCATTCTCACGTTACAAACACAAAATAGCCCCGAACGAGCCAATGAAAAGCAGCGGCTCTCTCTTTCAGACAGGTGCTAGTTTTAACCTCATCTTATAGAATAATCCCCTCTATGCCTTGTCACTCAGCATCCATCATCCCTTTGAGCCTGGAATGAAATGCAGAGGATGACGTTTGGATAAAACTGTCATCACATTAGTCCATACATGTTGCATGTAGGAGTTACTATAAATTTAAGAGGAGGTTATGATTGTTCGACTTACTACACTTTTTCCTCAACAGAGCCTCCGGTGACTATTTTTAGGAAACTGGAAAACCAGAAAGTCCCGGATGGTTCGATAATTTCTCTGGAGTGCGAACTGTCAAGACACAACGTTGATGTAAAATGGATGAAGGCAAGTAATGCTTTTATTGTCTTCTAACTGAGATGTTTAAAACCATATAACTGCCATGCAATCTTTAATAAACTGTCATTTATTATAAACAAAATACTTGTAATTCATCAACCTGCTGACTAATAACATAACCTTAATGATTATTAGTATTTACCATGCAGTACATATTACCATGCAGTATATGCTACCTACTTTTTGGTTGTTTAAAGTATTCATATATGGTGTCCATTCATGCTGTGAGTATGATAACTTGAAAAATAAGTGAAGTAGCCTACTGGCTTCCATTTTGGTGTGTGGTTACATCCACGCATTAACAAGGTTCCTTTCAAAAATGTGGCTACCGCTATATATGTCTGTCCGTTTTGTGAACTGGAACACATTTTGGTGTGGGTGCATGGTCACAATCAAAAATTGGGTTACAAATCAAAATTCAACATGGCCACCAACATAGATATACAAGAAAATTGTCCACCCCTTCATTTGAGTAAAGTATGCTTTCTAGTTTTGATACTGCAAAGTATAGTTTCCTCAAATGCTTGGGGTGGCCAAAATATGAATCTATGGTAGCCAAAGTCACCGTTGGCCACCCCCTGGTTCCTCCATTGCCCCTGGAGGTGGATACAATTGTTCCCACCACTCGCTAGGATCCATCAATGCACTGTACGTTTGTGCTGCAAGCAAAATAATGAACAAACAAACAAATAAATAAATAGATAATTACTACACAGTGTAACTCTTAATCCCTTGAATATCTTGCACCAAAAACATAAAAGTTTTTGATGTTTAATTATATTTAATTATTGCAACCCGGATCAATTTGAATTCAGACAAACACTCATCTCAAAAACTACAAATATTCACTATTTAAATCCCTCTGCGACAACAGACATCAACGTAACATTTTTTAAAATTAGTTAATTTATTTATTTATTGCTTGGGGGGGGGGGGACATAGTTACTTTCAAAACAAAAAAATGAACTAAATCTGTCATTTGGTTCTTTACCTATAATGTACAAACACAAAACTTCCAATCATTTCTGGCAACGCTTATTAAATAAATGGCGAACATTTAAGATCTTTTTTGTTTGTTGTTTTATTTTTTCTATTTTTATTTTTATTTTTTTTCCAGAATGGAGATGAGCTGAAGCCAAGCAAGGACCTGCGTATTTATGCAATGGGAAGAAAGCGGTTTCTTCAGATAATGAAATGCCACGTCACTGACTCTGGCATCTACACGTGTGATGCTGGAGATGTTACTACATCCTGCACTGTGGAAGTTTATGGTAAGATACAGCATGGTTGTTGTAATCCAAGTGCCTTTGCAGCAAGTGCTGCGACATGGTGATACACAAAGCCTGGTAGATCGGACAGGCTTGAGCAAAACAAACATAAAAGTCCACAATGTAACATCATTAATTTTAATAAATACAGACTGCAAGGTAAAGATAAATATGACAAATAAAGCTCATCCAAACTTAGTCATGAAGAAATGTGGCATACACAAAAATGCTACTCAACACACAGCAAAGTGAGTTATAGCAAGATCTTCCTCAATATTGTACTCCATGGTTAGGATATATGCTACAGTGAAGAAATATTGCCACACTCACAAAACAAACAAACAACACAGGTTAATCACATGTTCTATTTGGGTGTTAAACTCATTAGTATTAGTAGTACAACAGGTATGACAAAATAAACAAGTATATTTGTCAAAAACTTAAAAATAAAAGCATGAAAAATAAAAGTGCAAATCTCAATTTGCGGTCAAATTGACAACTAGTTCATTATACAATGTGCTGTCTATTGTTTTAGTGGTTTAAACCTTTAACTGT